AACAGCGGAAAGATAATATCATGCACAGTATGAAATCATTTCTAGGAGAGGAAAACAGCAAGAACTTGACCACTTCCCGTGATGTAAGTTTGAAGAGTTTACATCAAGATTAGTATCACCTTTGGAGTCCTGCATTTGTCTTTCAAAGGAATGAATGAGACAAATGGGGTAGAAGGGTTCAATGTAAAAACAGATGTCAGAAGCAATAAAAGTTCTTTTTCCTCTATGCACATACAATATTTAGGCTGGAGAATACTTTTTATTGTGCTCTAAATTTATAGATTAAAGTTTAAGGAGACAAAATCCCGTGCCAAAATGAAGCTGCACTTAAATAAGATATACCCATTATCTGCAAAAGGACAGTGCTGTGTAAATGCCATTGTAGGATAGAAAGCACAGCTTTTCGTTTGCGCTGGCACCTTAAACTGCTGTAACTTTTGTGTGGTTCTTTCTTGTTTTAATCCTTAACAGGCTGTGCCTAAGTTAAAATTGGGCAAAGGAGATAAATCCATGCTTTTAATTTTACTCTGATTCTAAATTTCATGCTTTGTTAAGGTGTTGGTTCTGAGCTGAGATTGTCATCTGAAAAATGCCTAAAGGGTGTGTGAAGTATCTGCTGCACAAGAAGCCTGTGGTGGCTCTGGGAATGTGCCCAACTGCAGAATCTGCCCTTGCATGCTTGATATCCAGCCTGTGCTCTTAAAAGGGACTTTGTGTCCAAAAGATTAGGCAGGAAATGAGCTGTTTTAATGTTACAGTCATCTTAGAAATGATTTTCTTTCTTTCCTTTCTTCTTTTCCTTTAGCCCGTTTTATAGGATTAGGATTATGAAGTTTATTTCTTACAGAATGTGAGAAACTGCAGCTTTCATTGACTCACTGATGCTCTGTGAGTCAACAAGCCAACCAAGCCAACAGAAAACTAAGCCAACAGATCTAGATGGACTAATGGTGGTTTGGGTCACTTCAAAGAGAGGAAGGGTGCCAAACCCTACTGCTCTATTCAGTGGTTTCATAAAACATTGCATTATTTTGAGTTAATTAAGAATACATTTGGTACAGATCCACTTGTTTTGTAGTAGCTTTTCCACCCTCTTCTTTCTTCCTTGCTTGTTCCCCCTCCTGTTCTTCTTGTGATAGGAAGATGGGGCAGGCTAAGCAGTGAACAGAGTCAATGAATTAATCTGCGTTGATTAATTCATTGATAATCACTCCTTTTGTGCATTCTTGCATGCATTTTTGATTCTGCATGTTTATGCAGAATGTGACAGTCTTTTACAGAAACTGGAACTAACACTGACGAATTCTTTTTACATTTCTATGAAGTCTTGTGCAGGTGGTAAATGTGTTATTATTGTATGCTTTTGAACTGTCTTGCATAAAAAAAATATGCTTGTGTGAGCTTTCTGAGGAAGATGAAGGAATTTGGCAAGTATCGTACATATTTTATTTGAAGTGATGTTTATTGTGCATATTGTAAAGGAACATTTTCAAGATTTTTTACATGTCAGTTCAGTTACTTTAATCTTAACACATGCAAATCTTATCAGGGTAGATATTTGTGAATATGATATTGGTCTGATCTTCTACAGCAGAATAATATCTTTCTCAGAAAGGATGCAGATATTTAGATATCTAGTTAGAACTGGCATGATACTCAGTGCCTGAAGTACCAGTTCTATGCAGGTGGTATGTGTACATTAATTACTGTAAGCACTAGGTAAGATTTCATATTCTTTTTGTCATCATCTTCCCTTAGTATCCCTTACTGTCTCAAATACTGAAATTTTATCAGTTGAGTTGCATCTTCCAAGACCAGACAGTAATCTCTAATTGTAGGCTTATCAACCTGGGAGGGACTGAGGTAGTATGATCCTCCTGTTTCTCATCTGCCAAATGTGTATTTCTAAGCTGACTTGTCAGAATTTTTTGCTGCTTCTAGCAATGAAAAAAACCTTTTTGTTCTAATTAAAATATAGTTTTGTCCTTCTGGCCTGTCATTTTTACTTTTATTGCTACAGATGGAAGATAGCAGGAGGATTTATAGGATGTTTATAGTCTTAACATGGCATCAGAAGTTGGGAGACATAATGAGTATTCTTAGCTGACTATGAGTCATTGTTTAATCTTAAACAAGTCACTTACTCAAAGTTCATCTAAGTTTCTTCATCTGTAAATGGCAATACGTGTGCCTTGCAGCGATGTTGTGAGACTTTAATACCTATGAAATAATTATACATTCCTGGATGGGGAAGTGACTACTTCCAAATTTCCTTACTTAATCTTGAGGTGCATGCTGAAAAGATAGAGGATGAGATTTCTTGTATCTGTGTTATTGCTGAGTTTACTTTTATAATTTTTGTGGCTTTAAACAATTTTCTAAAAATACCATTATCAATTAAAGCAAGCATATAGTTCTCTAAGACTGGATTTGCAAAATAATTTTTTAATAATCATCTGTGTACCCCGTGGCAACTTTTTTCCACCACAAGTATTCTTGTCCAGATTTTGTGCACTGTCTTTCCAGGGCATTTGGAAAAAAATGTCTGCACCACTCATTCCCAAAACAAGGTTTAATATGTTTTAGCTTTTTTTTTGCCAGATTACTGGAAAATATGGTTGAGATGCCTTTTTCAGAGTTCGCTTTTCTTAGAATGTATGTTGTTTCCCAAATCTTTTTCATTTTCATGCCCATTTCAGTGATTAAGCGATCACCACTTGTTGTGATCAGGTGCCCATTGATTGAAATGGAACTGTATGGCGCTGAGCTTGTCCACACAGTACAGTGCCCCATAGATCCTAGAAACAGTACAGATGTATTGACAAAACACTTCATCAATGTTGTTAAATCCTGTTCAGTGGAGTGGGTTTGGATGGTACCTAAGCTGATTTGTTCAAAACTAGCTTGAGTCCCTCAGCGTTGTGCCATGCAGACCAATCATAGGAAAAAGAAGGCCATGCTGGCATGGCCTTTTGTTTGTTCAGAAGTGGGCACAACCATATAGAATTGAGTGCGGCAGTGTGGCCAGGGATTAGAGCAGTGGGCTTTTGTCTCCAAGACTTTTGAATTCAATTCATGTTTTTGCCATTGACTCACTGCATCACTTTCTTGCGAGTCACTTACCCTTTTGGTCTAAGTTTACTAACTGCTTGAATGGGCTTAGTACCCCTGCCCCCCGGTTTTACTGATGTACAGAGGACTTCAAGTTCAGAGTGCCTCAAAGAGTGGAATGCATCATCCCCAGCCTGCGTACATGGAGAAGTGTGCATGCCTTGGTATCCTATCTTTTCTCCATTCTTCCTCAATCATGAGATGGCTTCTTGGTTCTTTATCCTTTGTACTCTGTCTGCAGCTACTTCCCCCCTGCCTCTGCCCTGTTTATCCTAGAAGCCAAGAGGGGTGTATGTAATTTCAAATTTTGCCGTTTCTTGCCCTTAAACGTGTTGGAAACAGAATTGCAGCTAAAGAGCTGCTTTAACAAACCTATCTGCTTGGAAGTGTGTTCTACCTTCCTCTGCAAAGCAGAAAAGGACTCTTAACCTTCATCACCAGAGTTATACCTACAAGTCAACTTGTATTCAGTTGGCTGAAATAAATGCATGTAAATGTGCAGTAGATGCTTCTCTTCAGTTATTTTTTCATCATTTAAAAGCTTTGTTTACTGTGGGAAGCTTTCTTAAGCAGCTGCTTTCTGCTCTAGAGCTCTTTAGTTGAATTTCATTTCTGGAAATAAAGTAGTGTTTGCAGCTCTTCGTACGTTACTTTAGTAGCAAGTGGAAATGAAGAGATACTATATATCCAGTTACTTCTTGGGGTACCCGCCCTCCCCCAGTACAGGAATCTATGATACCCAGAATGTCTGTGGATTAAGTATACAGGAAGCATTTGCCGTCAGGTTGCTAGTGACTTTTCTCAACATTTTTTGTCGATCCTTCTTACAGGTTTCTTTGCATCCTGAAGAAAACTCAGATTTTCCCTTGTACTCATGCCACTTCACTGATGAATAGATTTGTTGAACAGTGGTGCTTTGGAAGTGTTCTCACATACTTTTTCCAGGCTTGCACCTGCAAACCACCGTCTTCATCCTGTTGGGATTTGTCTGTATAGGTTAATTAGGTAGTGTTTATAAAGAGCTTTCAAAGCCTAACATATTTTACTAAATTTGTGATTACTAATATGGCTCTTCTTTTCAAAGCAACTGCTCCGTTATTGGGGTGTTGGCTTAACAAAACAGGCATGTCCTAAATTTTTACCTTTGTTTTGTCATTTTTTTTGATAGATAGCTATCTCTGGAGGTGCATGATGAATGCTGATGCCAGTAAATACCTGTGGTTTTTATTACTAAAGCTTAACACTTACGAAGAAGATAATAAAATAATCTTACTGCATCAAGAATAAGCAGTTTTTGAGAAATGGAAGCCTTGAAATGTCTCAACTTACTTGGTCATTGTGCATGGTCGTTTCCATATGACTGCATTTTCAGTCTGCAGGGGAGTTTCATGGCTTGGAGTGTGGAGTCTGCAGAAAGAAACTGAACTCAGTAGTCACATAGTTCCTTTTCTTATAACTAACCCCATTATTGGCACCTTAAATTGCATTTCAGTGATTTTTTTTACTGATTACCAGTTTGATCAGATAGGGTCTTTCTGCACGACTGTATAATTCTTTTTGTGCTTATCACGATTGAACAGTGGAAAATTCTTCTAGCTTTCAGAAACGGGGAACCAGATGGGATCTTTACATAGTCTAACATGATGATGGTAGCAAGTGAATTTTTATTTTATTTTTTCTTCTTTCGAGATACTTGGGGAAACCTTGCAGTGGGAGGGAACAGCCTTGAAGTCAGGGCTGGAAGGGCTGGGAAGTAGGAAGAAAAAAAGTGTAAAATAAAACCCCTGTAGATGTATTTTCAATATGGTGTCACTTGTAACTGGGTCTGCTTTTGCTCACTTTGCAATCTCTTGGTAGCTGAGTAGGTGTATAGATACACATAAATTCTCCTTACCTCTTCTGTAGTTTTTTCAAGGTAGTTGTAATTTTGAGTCTGTCTTTATGCTATGTGGTAATATCAGATGGTTTTATTATAAAGTGTGTTTTTAAACTCCTAGCCAAATACTATTGGTCTCTTTTCTGTTTCTGATTAGTAACTTTTACAGCTTTTGACTCTCTCACAAAGATTTGTTTTGGATTAAAGCTGGTGTTTGGATTGCTTAAAAATTTTCTGTGGTTTTGTAGCTAAATAGTTTATTTAATAACTAATATCTTCTAATTTTTGGATAAGAAGGACAGACATTTTAAAGAAATTCTGAGTGTATATTTATTTAGAAATCTTGATACAAGTGGTAACTTCTTCAAATAAATTCTAATTCTTCAGATACCAGACAATTAGAGTTCTAAGGTGACAACAAATTACTGTTGTTGAAACCTGATGTGGTTTATTCACCAGTTTATACACTTGTTAGTTATATGTTGAGACCTGAAGCAGTGCCACAAATCTGTGTGAGTGAACTGAACTTGAAATTCTATACATTATTTCAGTAGACAGGAAGCTAAGGAGGGTCATAGTGATAGTATTTGACTTTCACTATATCTCTCCATATATATTTTACTACTTAACCTGGAGAATCAGAAAAATCAGGCATTACCTTTTTGTGCCCTTAAGGAACCTAAAATAGAGGATTCTGCACACTGGTAATATTGTGCCTTATTAGCAAGTAGCAAGATATAACAGAGCTGTAGAAATACTGTTTGGAAGGGACCTCTGGAGGTCAGGTAATTCCAATTGTCTCTGGAAGGAGCACTATTGCCAACACTCAATTTACTGCCAGCAGAGAAGATCAGGGGGATTCTGCCTAGCAAGTCCCAGGACAATCCAGAGTTTAGCGAATTCCAGAGTCCTAACTCTGATGCTCATTTCCGAGCCTTGGTCTGATCCTGAACTCAATCACTTCGTGACGACTACAGCCCAAGCAGCTGCCAGTGGCTGCATTTGCCCCGGTTCTTTACTATTTCTGAGCAGCAAGTGAGGTACAGCATTAGTCAGCCTCTCCAGCATTTGCATTAGGAAATTGTCAGCAAGGCCATCTACAGACTTCCTGGATGGCTTGCACAATGCTAACCTTTCAGCAGGGGATTAAAGTCCCCCCTGCAAGGACCACAGCCGGATCAGGAGACGACTTCTGGTTTTTAGAGAAAGCCCACTTCATCGCATTGGTCAGCAGTCTCAAACACTCTTACAGCACTCTCTGAACACTCTTACGTCTGAGCAGGAACATGCAGTTCTCACTACTAACTTTCTCCCGTGCATTCCTCCTGCATTTGCCCCCTTTGCTCACCTAGGTCCCAATCATAAGTTAGTCTAAAGTCTTCCTCATTAAATTAGCCAGTCTGTTCATGAAGGTGTTCCTCACTCTGGTCATGTAGATTCTTTATTTTCCCGTGGACCATCTTCATTAACAAGCAAGGCTTCATGGTCAAGAAGCCAAGAGTCTCACTAGTGACGCCACCTGAGCCTGATAGCTTCTGCTTGAGCCATTCCTCATTCAGACTAGAAAGATCAAGTCCACAGGCTACAGCGTCAGGCGCCCATGCCCCTCATTCTTGCTCCAACAGGGGCAAAGCACCTCTCAACTGTTTGGGGCCTCTCATGCTTGTATCACTTGCCTACATGGATTAGCAGTGAAGAGTAACATCTGGAAGGCCAGGTGAGACTCAGCCATTTCTCCATGCCATTGTGGATCTAGAGTCTGGGCACGCAGCAAACCTCCCTAAACAATCAGTCCAGCTGGCAGGTTGGCCTGTGTCCCATAGAAGAGGGAGTCATCAGCTATTGTCGCTTGTCACTTTGTAGCACTGTTTCTTATCAACTGACCTGTGATATACTGTCCAAAATCCTCCCTGACAGCATTTGTTCCTTCTCTGTCACCAGGGCTCTGAACTGAGGTGAAGAGCTGCAGGTGGAAGGGGAGGCTTCTCTCCCTGCCAGAAGTAGCTAGCTTGCAGCTCTCCGTCTCCTGGGAATTCATGCTTTCTTCCTTCACCTGTGTTGGCTCAGTCATATCTTCCTTCTTGCCTGCATGGGAAGTAGGCACATTTATCTTCCCTTTTACATCCCTCCATGCCAGGTGCTTTGTTACATGCCATCTGTTTGCACCTCCGGTTGCTAATGGTCCCTAGGTACAAAATAAATAGGAAGCTGGAAAGAAGTCTGCTCTGCTCCTCCGTGAGTTTTCCGCTTTGGCAGAACCTCTCGTGCTGCTGGGTGGTTCCTGGCTTCCCTTGCTGATGATCAGCAGTGCTCTCCTCCCATGCTGCAGTCCAAAAGTACTTCTGCCATCTAGCTCTTTGTGAGGCAGAAGGGACTGAGTAAATGACGTACAGATATTATATATCACTCTTGGGCCCAGAGAACCTAAGGAGGTCAGGTAACTTCATCGGTGGGATTACGGTACTGTTCTGTTGCATGTACAGTTTTTAAAGTCATATCTCAAAGTGCTTTATTAAAGTATTTTGCCACTCTTACACATGTACCACTAAAAGACTGCAGAATACATTCTTTTTGGCTTGTTAGAACTTTTGTACACAGGTTTGGAAAAGCACAGGTTTCTTCTTGCTGTGAGGATCTCTGCGACCTATTAATTGCATAAGGCTGGTATGTTTGGCAAGTGATTGGTGAATAATGTTTATTTACTACTTTTAAGTCTTTAACAGAATTGATGTGGTGATATGCTATTCTTCTCATCTATGCAGGTACCAGTGATAGCGATACTGGGTTCAGGAGGTGGATTTCGTGCCATGGTAGGATTTGCTGGAGTCATGAAAGCGCTTTATGAATCAGGAGTTTTAGACTGTGCAACTTACATTGCTGGTCTCTCAGGATCCACGTGGTAAGGGTTTTTTCTTTTGTTTTTCTTCTATTTTTCTTCAGGAAGTTCAAGATAAATTTTCATGAGAGTTCGCTTATTTCTAAGGTTATAATTCACAGCAAATTTTACGCATATACTACCAGTAAGGAAGAGACATACAGAGACAGCTGTCTTGGAGCATAGTGGGTCAGTGGAGCAAGGCTGCTGGTGGAGGTGTTTCAGAATGCCTTGAAGGGCAAGGACAGATCAGTCTCCAGGTGATCTTCCTAGGAGCTTTGGTAGCAGCAAAGGATGAAAAGAGGTGCTACACATATGACACACATTTCTGTATCAACAGCCAATGCTGTATATACTAGGACTGTGTAATTGATTCTTTCATCTTGATAGCCAAAAAATTAAAAATTCAAGCAGTTGGTGTAAATCCAAAATATTTTTTATGTTGTTTTATTTTCCTGATGAAATGGAAAAAAAAAATTCCTCGCGACTTGGAGATGGTGACTTATTCAACCCAAAATGGATTGTGTACTTTTGGGGGACTTTTCAGAAATTCTCAAAATCGCAGAAAGATTTTTTTTGCTCTATTTTAGGTTCAGTAGTCCCTTTAGTGGCTTTACTGGGAATGTCTAGGACCTGTTCACTGCTTCTTTTTTAGCATAAGGAGATTTGAGCAAATGTATTTCAGCTTGTAGGAAAATACCGACTTACTGCCGTGCTGCAAGGCATCCTTGTATCACTCTTACTGTCACTGTTTAATTCAGAAATTACATTGTTTTTAAAAAAGTTTGTTACTCAGATGGGAGTAAAGATCTTCAAAGATGTCTCAATTAGAATGCCCTGATTAAGTATAGTGTCCTTCTGTCTGACTCAAAGAATAGTTCAGCCCATTAACAAGAACAACATCAACAGGAGAAAATCAGAGTGAAGTAGCTGTGTGAAAGGCACTCTCTGGGCATTATGAGCTCAGAGTTTTGTGGGCAGGAAAATGCTTTGAACCCCAGTATTATGTCTGCCTCAACTACTTTTCTGAGTGAGAGGGTTTCTCTTTTCCCTGCCTAGTGCTATGAACCTGCAGCCTTTTGTCGTCTTGGCTTTTATAAAAATTGTCCCAAATTATGCTTATTACGAATGTTGAAATTATTTGTTTTGATATTTCTTAAATGAAATGACATAACATATTTAAAAGCTGTGTATTTTTCGTCAGCCAAAGTTATCTAACAAATTTAGTCCAAATTTCCTGTTTGGAGTCCTTAATACTACATTTTTTTTCATTGAGTGAAAAATTGCAGACTTTTTTTTTTGTCTAGCTTTTAAACTTGGTTTTAATGTCAGTGTATCAAGTTGCAGTACAAGATGTTACATCTTAAGAAAATTTTGAACTTTTCAAGGGAGTATCACAAGTGTCACAAGATACGATTTTATCATAACTGTACCAGTTTGAATACTGGAGCTGCATCTGAATCCAGTTTAGGGTCACCTAGTACAAGAAAGGTATGGACAAACTGGATTAATTCCATCAGAGTACCACCTAGGCTATTAGGTGACTAGAGCACATGAGAAAGTGAGGCAGCTGGATTTATTTAGGCTTGAGGAGTAGGCAAAGGTAATGGTGGTGGGGAGATCTTACCATTATCTTCAGCTATGGAATGAGTAGCTGTAAAGAAAACTCTTTTTGGAGATGCGCAGAGAAGGGACGAGGAGCAACGGCCTCAAGTTTCAGCAAGAGAAATTTGATTAGCTATTAGGAGAATTATTTTGCAGTGAGAGTGGTCAAGCACTGCAATGTATTGCCTCATCCTTGCTTGACTAGGTTGGGTAAGGTGTCATCCTCTCCTATCTAACTCAGTGAATACTTCATGTGAAAGCAGAACTTGACTCAACAAAGCCCAGAGCAACCTGATCTGACTTTTAAGTTGGCTCTGCATTGAGCAGGAGGTTGGAATAGGGACCTCAAGATTCCTTCCAGTCTAAATTATAAGATTATATAAAAGTCTCATTTCTTCAAGATTAAGGAAAAAATACTTTTGTTGGAATAGGTAGGTATAAATGAGCAGGGAATCTACCTGGGATGAGTTTTATCCACTGGTTTAACTTGAAGGAAGTACATGAATTTTGGTACCACACCTTCTAAGGAAATACTCTAACCCCAAAATTGTTAACTCTTTTAAAATAGATAATGATCTATCTATTCCTTGTGTGGTTTTTTTTTTTCCCAATTATTTTTCACTTGTGTGAAGCTTGCTTCCCCCCCTCCCAGACTAGATAGAAAGCTTTCAGAATGTCAGAAGGTTTTGAAATGCCTTAAAAAAATCTCATTGTGTTTGTAGGGAATGGTATGTAGTCCATGTTCTGAAAAGACATCAGTCAGCTGGCCATGAGGTCGTTTTTTGGGAAAACCCAGGTGTGAATACATGGTTGATCTAACGTAAACCTGTAGAATCTGTTTTAAAATAGCAAGATTAACTGAACTGATTCAGTCAGAAACATATGTTGGAAAAAATTATATTGGAAAAAAAAATTGCTTTTGCTGTCTTAGTGATGTCACCTACTCAGATTTTTTTTGCTTGATAAATAAATAAATTGATACTTCAGCACTCCCTTTCTTTTTTTTCTATGCAGTCTATTACTTGGGAATAATGCTCTTTTTTTTTTTTTTCTTTCTTTCTTTTTTTTTTTTTTTTTTTCCTGAAGGGTGGAGAATTCCTTTCCTGGCAGGAGAGGCAGGTTTTTGCTTGTCCACTCAGATGCATGCCTAATCTTGGAGCAATGCATTCACCTCCTTGATGGCTTCTGTCATCTTGCTTCAACCTCGTACTGAATTCTTCATCACGCATTTTCCTTTCTCTGCTCACGTGGAAGCTTGCTGCTGTGTTTGTTCCACCCACGAGCTGACGTGCATGCTAAGCTTTAGAGACTGTGCGAGGACTAATGAATCAAGTTATTACATCATGCATTTGACAGGATTCATCATGCTGTCAAGTAAATTGCCAGGCAGTGATCTCAGGGCCAAGTTTACACAGTGTGTATCTCACTGCTGTGCAGAATTATGCCTGCAGTATGGTATGTATACCTGAACCAAGTAATTGAATAAATACTAGTGAAATGAGTGTCTAGTAGATCAGGACAGCCTATGTTGAGTCTTCACCCATAGTGTTACTTAAGCCAACCAAATGCAAACCACAGTTGTCTGCATGTGTGTCTAAACTTTGTTTTTGAGTAAACAAAACTTCAGTTTCCAGAGTTACTCAGTGATAAAATCAAGATTTGCCTGATAGGCCTCTTCTGAATCCTCAGAGATAATTAAATCTCTGCACAGGTTGTAGTTACTGTGCTTTGTGCATGCCATATACTAATATATTTTAGGAATTTTTGAATAGTGATAATGATGTGGAAAATGAAAGAGAGAGAGGGGTAATCTTACAGTGAAAGAACTGCATGTGTATATTTATGGGACTTCCAGTCCGACAAATGTAGGTACGCTGTGAAAACTTGAAAATCTCTTTTTTCAACTTACCAGGATTCTGTCCATTATCCCTTAAACAGATAAATGAGAACACTTTAATCTTTTACATCGTACACATTATGGAAATATATGTTGAGTGTTTATTGTATGCTTATGTTTAGAACAAATTGTTTAGCTTTCTATGCCTTGAGAAAAAGGAAATGACAATTCACTGTATAAATGGTGAGTAAATTAATCTGATTTAAATAATAATTGTATCAAATTGTTTACAAGCTTATTATACATTTCAGGCAGCTGACATTGAACCAGGCTTTGATACTTACAGAGCCTATTTTCCATCACAGGTACATGTCAACTTTGTATTCACACCCAGATTTTCCAGAAAAAGGACCAAAGGAGATTAATCAAGAATTGATGAACTCTGTGAGTCACAACCCACTTCTGCTGCTCACTCCTCAGAAAGTCAAACGCTACATTGAAGCACTGTGGAATAAGAAAAGCTCAGGGCAGCCTGTCACCTTCACAGATATCTTTGGAATGCTAATAGGTGAAACACTTATCCATAATGTGAGTTCATTTTCTAATGATTATTAGAGTTGTGAAACTATTGCTTAATAACCGCTGTTACTATTTTTTTGAAGTGACCTTGGTAACATTTAACAAAGCGTGTTTAGCAGTAGGAATATTTAAAGTTACAGCTGAACAGATACTGGATAAGAAACTTGTAAAATGCTTTCCTTGCTTTGGAACATGTTTCTGAATGGTACTTATTTCTTTAAGAGCTAGGAAAACATCATGCAACAGAAATGAACTCAGCCACTGCAGCAAGGTCTTAACATTGTGTACCATCCATTAACATTACTGCTCAAGCAATTTCAACCAAAAATGGCGAAGTCGCGTAACCTCTTTATGCACATTTGGCTATAAGAAAAGCAGCGTTTGCTTAACAAAATACTAACTTTCAAGGTGAAAGATCCACATCTCTATTTATTATTACTTGTTTTTCTCAGAAATGAGACAATAGCAGGGCTTTGTACTGTTGTATTTTATAATTGAAAAATCCTAGTTGACTGAATCATGCAGAATTTGGATTTGATCTTATGGTAAGATTGAAATGTGTTAAAAGATTCGCAGATGTGTCTTATATACTTCTCTCTTTCATGAGTATACATTGCCATTAGGTTTTAAACACTTTACTGAAAAACAGGCAACATAACTTTTAGTAACTGTGATATATAGGGTGAGTTCCTGATGATGAAGGGATGTTAATGATCGTGTGAGCTGAGTAGAAGTCCCGGTTTACTAAGGTGTTAAACAACTGCACAGTAGTTTAGCTTAAATCTGAACCTGACACAGTCAGGCTCTTGATTATTCATAAATAACACATCTTAGTACTATTATGTCCTAATGACTTTCAGTCTTTCTTGATTGCAGACTCCAGAGATGCAGTTCCTTGGTTAGCAAATGTAAGCCTCTTAATAGTCCATTTGCTTTTCTTAGTTATCTTTGCTAACTTTTCAGAAACAACACAGATTGAAAAACATGATCATCAATGGCGATTCTGCCCAAGAGATTTTTCCTTGTTTTCATCTTTTACAGTAGCAGGGGGAAAGAAGTTGCTTTGTTCAGCAATACTGTTCTTTTTGGCCACGTTATTTTGGACTCTACAACATATGCTTATTTCATCTTCTTATCATGTCTTCTCCCACTCCTTCCTTCCCGAATTGTGCAGTTAAAAGGAATTCATACAAATTCTTCTGTTCTATTTCTCTTGGAAGTATCTGAGTTTGTCTGTTTTCCTTCTCTGAGAATTTCAGAGAAATGAGTAGTCTCCCAAATATCAGCAGGCCTTTTCTGGATCCGTTTGGTCATAATGTCTTTCTTTTCACGCAGAGAATGGACACCACTTTGAGCAACATGAAACAGAAAATCAATAACGCACAATGTGCTCTCCCACTCTTTACATGTCTCCATGTCAAACCAGATGTCTCAGAGCTTATGTTTGCAGGTATGTTTTCAATCTGTGTATTGAGTCACTTGTGAAAGGAAGAGAGAAGTGTATGGCTGACCAAAAAGCCTATTTTTTTAAGACTTCTGGGAATAATTGTATCCTGCAACTTGGTACACTTTGAAGTTATTAGTCTTATGGCAAGGATTGGGAAGGAATTTGCCGTGATATGAAACATTCTTCAGGGCTTAACAAAATTTGCATTGTTATGAACCAAGTACAGGGAGATTTTAATTTATAAAAGGAACAGGAAGTTGGGGTGTTGAAGGATACACCAAACAGGCACATCAGGAGGACTGTTCTGGTGGGTTTTAATGGACAGGTTTGTGTTCAGCAGCTTCTGGGAATCTGACAGTAGAGTCTGATAACAAGAAGTTACTCAGGGTAAGTGATCACGTACTTAGGTAGGTGGATACTTACTTGATTGGTGCAGTGTTTGCACCAATGTTACAGGGCTGTGGAGAACAGGCATCAAATGGATGTATTCCTCATGGCTGTGGACTGAACTTTTTCTTGACTTTTAAGGTGCAACTTTTCCTGTCCATGGAAAGACAGACTGTATTTTGGGTTAACAGCCTTTTATTTCTCTGTCATTCTTAGGTTTTGGAGACTTATTCTTAGACCATTTTGTAACCATCAATTTATTTTTTTTTTTTTTTTACCTGAAAATAAGTCTTAACACCATAACAGCCTCTTTAGGTTTCTGTGAAATGTTAAGTGGTGGCCAAGTTTTGTTCAGTGTATGTTACAAAAAAATTATTTCCTACAAATTGAAAAGAAATATTGCTTATCCTGGAAGTAGCTAAGTACATTGCAGGAGTCAAGACTAAAAGAAAGCCAGAAAGCTGCTTAACATTAGTATATCAAACAGGTCAAGGGAAATGTCTTCGTAGAGGATTATTCCTCTTTCTAAGAAGAGTGAAATGAGGATTGAACAAATTAGATATACTTCCTCTTTTTTACTTCTTACACAGTGTAAAGTACTGTTGGTAACACAAAAGGGGCTTTTGCTTTTATTTATTCCGTAAGTTTTAATCCCATCTAATAGCCTTAGTTGAGAGTGGGTCCAATTGTGCTAGATGCTGTACAACAAGAAGAAGGATATGTATATCTATATAGTTATATATAACACTCAGAAGGGAAACATCAAGTGTCTTGCCCAAAGTTTGTAAGTCAGACATTGTATCCACATTTCCTAAAAAGATTGTTTGGAAAAGTTGCTGTCAAAACTTTGTTCGTAATGGAAAATGAGGTTGTGGGAAAATGAGGTTGTGAATTAGGTTAAATTTTTCATGGGAGTATGTGTACTTTCCTGCTTAGGAAACTGAAACCTTTTTGTTTGAAAATAAAAGTATTTTGTTTTTTGATGAGCTTCTGTTTTCTGAGAAATTTTCTTTGGGTTACTTATTTTAAAAACAAAATTATCTTTAGTTATTAGTGGCTTTCTCTAAGCAAGACCAGAAACACCTGAAGGCTGGTCTAATTTCTCTAGCCTTAGCAATTGGTCTGAAAAAGGGAATTGCCTTTGCCAGTGGATCTTGGTTTTGCTTTTTTGAGACTATCATCTGTATCGTTATATAGGATGCTAGATCTTGATTGTTTCTGTTGTAATCTTTTTTTTCTCCTTTTAGAACTGAACAGCTATTCTTGATGTGAAATAGATAGTAAGTTTTGAACAGAAATATTTAACTTTCTTATTTACTAGATTATGGATGTAGGTGAGATCTTCCATGTTGTTTCAAGTTGAAACACATTAATTAGATGAGATAACATTCCTTCCGGGAGCAATGGTGCAAGATTTCGTGCAGCTGCTAATAGCTCTCATGCCTCAGGCTCTGCATGGTTTCCCTACCAATAGTGTTTCTGACCCAGGTGGCGCCAGCCGTACCCAAAACTGCAGTAATCATTTTAACTGAGCATAATTACAGTGATTTAGGTAGACAGCTTTTTTTATTATTATTATTACTATAGCTTCTTTAATGATAAGAAGTTACCTGAAGATACTGACCCAGTGTTAAAGAGGGGAGTAGAATTTAATGTTTGTCTTTGCCATTCCGTGATTCCATCCCCTAACAGCCTCATTCGCCAGCGTTGCTGCTGCTGCAATGGCAGAGCCGTCAAAATCTGGATTTTGGGGTTTTGCTCTTGAAAGTTATTATAGTAAACTTACATCTGTGAGAGGATGAGTGTGTGTGTTGCTCCATACCAGTGAGTGCTACAGAATTCATTTGGGAAGCAGGGCTGCATTGAGGTATGGATTCATAGCACTTGGATTCCAGGCTCCAGGTTTCAGAGGGGTCCTTCAGTCAGTGCTCTGTTAGCCATGTTCATCACACATACTGGACTAGGTATGTAGTTTTGATCTGCCTGCGTGCAGCAAAGCTCGACTGCAAAGTGAATCTGGTCTCAGTGTATGAGTTTAGTCCATGCATATGTATGCCCAATCCTGAATCTGCCAAAGGCTCAATGTTGGCAAAATGTTACCTCTCTGGCTTCCATCCTGAGAACATGAAAAATCTGTTGCATCTTCAGCTGGTGTGAAGCAGTGTAGAGTTATGATTTAGCTTACATCAGGGTCACATCCAAAATGCAGTGAATACAGCTGAGAGGTTTGACTTTAGTACATTTTGGATTAAGCCACAGCCAAGAAACTAGCCTGGTTTACTGGGATATAAATACTTAAGTATTTCTCTTGGTTTGAAGTTCTTGTCTCTTGTGACATTCAAGTCCAGCTTTTTTAAATGGCCACTGTCTCAGGAGCTCCTGGAATGGCAGAAGCTAATGCTGAAGCCCTTTAATTTCAAGGCAGAAATCTTACTTCCTTAAGCAGGATATGTGATTTGAGAAATCATCTTCTTCAGTGCAAATACAAAATGAAAGCGGACTCACATATTAAATTAATTCTAGTTCTAAATTCAGTTTCACTGTTAACATGGGTATGAATACATGTCTCCCAATTCCTGTTTATATATCTAAAGGGAAATGGCATTAAATTCCTGGACTGAGTCTTCAAAGGAATTTCCTTCTGCTCCAATAAATGTGAAGATTTGTGGGTGGTTTATTTGGAAAATAGGGTGTTGTATTTGATTTAGCATAGATAAGCATTGCCCCATGAAACGAAACTCTCAGCAGACATGATTAAATCTTTCCTTTTCAAGACAAGTAGTTAACCTTATGCTTAACATTTCAACAGAAATACAGTATCTTGAGGAGTGGATGGCATTCTATGACTTGTGGGGATTTTTCAAAGCTGTTTCATTTGCCTTTCTATTTCAGAATTATTTATAATTTGTTTACAGAAGTAGTCAAATCAATCAGTACTAAAAATATGGAAGATAAAATAGATGAATAGGTAGGGTATTTTTTACCCTAGATTAAGTAGATTAAATGTAGGGTATGTTTTGTTTGTTATTGCTCCTTTTACGAAATGAATCCTCTGATGTAAACGACTCCACTGGTATCAAAGAAAATATTTCAAAATCAGCTGAAGTCCATTTTCAAACAAGTCATACATCATGGAATGAAAATAAATTCTGAAATTTTTTGCTAAGATCAGAAAAATACATTTGAACATTTTATTCCGTATCTTTATTGAGGTCTCTATTCAATAAAATAGCATGTACTGTAAAAAAATGTTCGGCATTGTTTGGTATTAGTAATTTTTCTCATTTTTCTCAGCTGCCTCTCAGCTTTGCCTTTTCATACTGCATTTCACTAGAAACTTTAGGTTTATTCTTCTAGACTGTTTCACAACTTTTGTGATACTAAATAATTTTTCTGCCACCTTCGTCACTGCCCTCCACATTTTTGGTAGAATCACAGTGAAAGAAAAGAAACTTGGAACTTAGACCCACATTGCATTTCATGTCACAGGGAATCATACTGAAGCATGAGATGAAAAACAGATGTCTTCTTTTTTTTTTTTTTTCTCATTTGTGACCACTACACTTATATTTCTGTTTTTACAACTTCATGGTTTTTTCACCAAAGTTCGTTGTGATAAGAGAGAATGAGAAAGAATTCCTTCTCTGCTGAGACATTCAACTGTCCTTCATTTGAAATCAAAATTTTTACAACTTCACAACCTGAGAGATATTCCTGTTGGTTATTTAGTTTCCCATTTAACTAAAATGTCTTTTCTTGGACAGAGGTTTCATTCATATATGTGTTTTCCTCTGTTTCTACTCAGATTCAGATTGCTAACTAAACACAATTTTGTTTCTTATTTTGCAGACTGGGTGGAATTCAGTCCATATGAGATTGGTATGGCAAAGTATGGCACTTTTATGTCTCCTGATTTGTTTGGAAGCAAATTTTTTATGGGAACAGTGGTGAAGAAGTATAGTGAAAATCCCTTGCATTTCTTGATGGGTGAGTATGAGACAGAAAGAGACTTAAAAATAAAACTAATTTCAGTAGTTCATGGACAAGGGCTTTTAAATGCAATCACACAAAATGTCAGACAAGAAATAGAGTCCTCAATTTGTTGGAAGACATCCATTTGAAAGTTTCACAGACATGGATTGACATTCCCTGTTTTTTGGTTTCTGGTATGTACACCTGAGCTTATGACTTAGCATGCTCCAAAATCAGAGGTGTGTTCAGAGAGCAGGCAACTGCTGAAATAGTACAGTATATATTTGTTTTCCTTCTGCCAGCCTCCATTCATTGTTTGCTTTTTCTCTTTCAGGCGTCTGGGGCAGTGCATTTTCTATATTATTTAACAGAGTGCTGGGCGTCTCCAATTCTCAAAATAAATGTCCCACCATGGAAGAAGAATTAGGTAATATTAGTAAATAATTCTTCTACTATGCAAAACAATTACTAGCAAGATTTAGTGCCCTCTCACTCTGTGGAAGGATGGCACTCTGCTGGTAGTAATTTTAAGGATGTGGAATTCAGGTAACTTTAATTGCTGACATTGCTAGATGGCTGACGAGATCAGAGAAAGAGGGTTAGTAATTTTCTTTCTTTCACTTTTGTTTCGATCAGTATCAGAGGTACATAAAGTCACATGCATATATCCAGCTATTTTCATGAAGTTAAAAGAATCCAGCTGTCTTTTTTATGTTGTTATGCTAGTTTTTGTAGATCAGAAGCTGACAAATACTTGATAGTTGCTTGTGTAGTCTCTTGAGTATTCAACAGATTAGTAAAGTGAAACCAAATTTTATGGTTTCTGGATTATTAGATTGTGTTCCATTATAACCACAAGTCACCTGTTAGTATCTGATCCTTTGATTACTAATTTAGTGTCTTTGGTTTCATTCCTAATGCACAAATGGCATAATGACTGTGAGGAAAGAATTGTAGCTTGGTTTGGATAGACTTTATTGTGTTTTATTTGAGAATGCAGTTGACAATTAAAGGGATGTCCAGTGTGTCCAGTTCTGGGCCCCTCAGTTCAAGAAGGACAGGGAACTGCTTGAAAGAGTCCAGTGCAGAGCTACAGAGATGATGAAGGGGGTGGAACATCTCCCTTATGCTGAAAGGCTGAGGGAGCTGGGTCTCTTTAGCTTGGAGAAGAGGAGACTGAGGGGTGACCTCATTAATGTTTATAAATACATAAAGGGTGAGTGTCAGGAGGATGGAGCCGGGCTCTTCTCAGTGATGGCCAATGACAGGACAAGGGGCAATGGGTGCAAGCTGGAGCATAGGAGGTTCCACATTAACAGAAGGAAAAACTTTTTCACTGTGAGGGTGACAGAGCACTGGAACAGGCTGCCCAGGGAGGTTGTGGAGTCTCCTTCTCTGAAGACATTCAAAACCCACCTGGATGCATTCCTGTGTGACCTACTTCTGGGTGGTCCTGCTCTGGCAGGGGGGGTTGGACTAGATGATCTTTCAAGGTCCCTTCCAACGCCTAACATTCTGTAATTCTGTGGGGTTTTTTATACTTCTTTTCTTAATCAGGAATTAAAAATTAGGAATTCCTTTTCCTAGTTCCGAAGGCGGCATTACAGGAAAATATATAACCAATAAATAAATTGTACTAGAGAGCCAGATTTTTCTGAAGAGCTTGGAGAGAAAATGCAGATTGAGTTGATTTAAAAAAAAACAACAGCAAAACCCAAAGCCCCTTAGCTGTCTCTGTCTCCTAATAGATGGTATTCATCTGTTTGATAATGTACTTATTTATGGATGAAAATGAGACCTGAGCCTCCAGATTCGTATTTCTGATACAACTCATGAGGGTTAACACCTACTAATGGAGGATCTCTGTTAATAAATTTGATAGTGGAATAGTCTGTGTTACTGCGTTTTAAGATGTTGAGAGACAGTGTTATCTCTCATCCGTGGCTCATTTTACATATAGTTTAAAAAATATGCTTTGAAGTGGTATTAGATGTGAAAATACTAATGAACCACAATCTATTACCGGAGCTTAAGATATTCCAATGAAACCTTGGTACCACACCAAAATGAATGGCACAATGCCAGTGGACATCAGAAGCGCCACTGTTGCACACAGCGTGTGTAAATCACACCTAGAACAGTAAATAATAAATTTTGCATAGGGGTGGCTTTAAAGAGAAGATCTGATGTCCAAAAATTGCATTTATTGTTTTTGTTACCTTCCTTTTTTGGTCACTAATTTTTATTTTGACCTGTCTCCTGTGTCATCACTCAAGTATTTGTGCGTGTTTGTCTTTGATGCATGTTTGTCCATAGGTGGTGTTACTACTGAGTATTAAAAAAAAAAAGTATGATGACTAAGCTCTTGTGTTTCTGTGGGGATTTTTACAGTGTTGTATGTAAGTCTAAGAGGACATAATCCTCTTCAGAAAAAAAAAAAGCAACAGTGGTGGTCATCTGTATCCAGTATTCATTACCAGTAAAGCTGTATTTTTTTACACTTGATATTATGGTTATCTCTCTTCAGTCTTCTCTTTCAACCAGGTGTGCCTATAGGAATTAGATTTAGACTTAAGCAAAAAGTGCAAAGTGTAATTGCCATTGTTTTGATACTGCGTTTGATAGAAATTACAGCATTTGTTGGAAATTAGAGCCCAAAGCAGGGGTATGCCACCAGAGACCAACATCTACATTATCCTTCTGTGAGAAAACGTAGAGGTTATTTTATTTTAAATTTTTAATGGAAAAAACAATTAGTTGATAATATGTTCAAGTTCATTAGGAAACAACCCTCATTCAGTTTATTTATAACTGGCTTCAAATTTCAATTAAAGATGATTCCTAGCATACATTATACTAGGGAATAAAGGGGTTTAGTTTTCAAAAGTCTTCCCTTGGATACATTTGCATCAGTGGAATTCAGTTCCTGTCTCCAGTCTCTGCAGGATATAAGCTTACAAGATGAGGCTGCTCATAAAGCATTGCAAATCTACTATATTTCAAGAAAGGCTTCCCTTCATAATTAGCGAAAATAACGTTGTCAGACTATAATCAATCCATTCTCATATGAATTCACCTCCACTACAAACCTTACCTGAGGAGTGGAATGTTGCTTTTTCAGTATTCATTTTGACTTTGAAGTAATCCCTTGGGATAGTAATGAACAGTTAACAATGACTTTGTGGTTGTTTCGGAAGCAAAGCTGTTAACCCTAACAAAATGCAGATTTTTGCCAGGGAAGTTCTGTTTTTATTCTCTTACTGACTGTTATGAGAGGAAACCCGTGTAACTGCACTGGCCTTTATTTTTCATGTGTCCTCCAGTACAACTTCTTTAAGGACCTTGCCTTCTGTTTTACCCCACTGTTTTTAAGGGTACACATTCATATATGTACCAATGAGGTTATTTTTTCCTAAAATTAGCAGGTAATTAGCAGAAGTTAATGTTGTTATTGTAATTCACTAGGAGTTACTGAGAGAAGAGAAGCTATACATCTAAATTTTAATCGAGGTGAATTAAATGTGTCGGATATGTGGTGCAGAGGTGAGTGGTAGGTACTGCTTTAGGATTTTGTTTTCTCAGACCTTTGGCTAATCTGCTTAGTGCAGGAGCTTTGCAAAAATTGCAGGCTAAAGCAAATATATTCTGATGAGGTTCTGAACATAGAGATGTCCACAGCAGATCAAATCTCTTCAGCTGTATTTTCTATTATGAAGACTATGATAGCTTTATGTCTCATTGTTTTGAAATTCTTAGCTCTTCTGACAATTAAACCCTAGCAGTTTAAAGTAATTTTATATTTCTTCCAACAGAAAATATTAGGCTAAAGCACCTTGTAAGCAATGACAGTTCAGACAGTGAAGATGAATCACAGTGTCCAAAAGGTAAGGAAATCCTCACTTTTCATTTCGTAGTTTAGTTTTTTCGTCAGCTTTTGTGTAGCATGGTCAAGTTTACAGATGTTGGTAATTAGTTGGTTTTCCTTAGTCTCACCAATAGTCTCTGCTCTCATTTATAATGGTAAAACTTGATTGCCTAGCCCAAGGATCTTAAAGGAGCCAGTGGCTCAGCAAAATAGAGAAATGTTCAACAAGAGACCTCAGGAGGGCCTTTGACTTGACTTCATGCCTCCTGCTCAAGCTGATGGTCAAATGATTCTCTTGCACATCTTCAGTCTTGGTGTCAGCCCAACAGGGCTTCACAGATGTCTGCAATTTAACATACACTCAAAAATCAGGCTTGTTGAGCCAGTGATCTCCAGAAGTCCGTTGCCAACAAGCTGCTGAGCTCAGAGGCACGTTGATATTGTTACCAGCTCAGCAAGTTAACACTATCCATTGTTTTCAAGAGTTCCTTGATCAAATATTTGCCTGAGAATGGTTTAATTTGTTTTTTCCAGCACTCACAGATGTCTTCTAGCACCTTTACAAATGACATCTGATACAGGAAGTTCCTAGTGCTTAGCACAATGTTTTAAATGATGCCCAAATCCAGTTTCCCAGAAGGACGACCACAAGGGGAACATTGGGCAGTGGCAAGAAAAGATGCTATTGAAATTTATCTTTAGATACCTAAATCGCCTAAATAATGCTTTCTGTATTTGGTGATACTTTTGGGGACAACAGTGATTTTCACCTGAAGAAATAGATTCTATTTTTATCAACTAAAGAAAAGATAGGAATGCAACTCTTTATAATTTTAGGATCTACAGGAAGAAAAGAAAATCTTATGCGATGAGACAGTGAATTATGTCATTAGCTCAGTTAAATGATTACTTCTTCAGTTCCCCTTATATGTGAAATAATAGGGAGAGGATGATATTTTGCATTTATTTGTGGATTTCCTGTTTAAGCACTATAGCCAGCATGAAACGCTACATTTCTCTCATAGTTTGTAGCCATGGTGGACAACCTACAAACCTGTCGTTTGTAAACACTTGGTAATTCCTCTTACTTCTATAAAATATTATTGTACAAGTGTTGGACCTCTAAATTTTGTGGTGCTTGATGCTTGTTCTCTCTCTACTTAGATAAAAATCAGCTCCTTTAAAGCCTGGATTAGAGAGGCACATTTCAGTGCCTGATTTAAAGTATCAAGTCCAAGCCTGAATTATCTTCTTATACAAAACACCTCAAAAGTTTTGGCAGTTTATGCATGCAAGTTGATGTTAATCCAAGTAATTTTTGCTGCGACATCTAGTTATAGACATCTAAGTCTGGACGTTTCATTTTACTCTTTAATTAGTTAAAACCAGATATTGATTGTAGTCTACAGTTTACTGTAAGTGTATTTTCAGATATTTTAGAATTTCTATGCTATAGCATTCTCTTTTATGCAGACTGACTTTGCCTTCTTAAGGAAAGCTGGGTTTCTACCAGTCAGCAGAGGATGGAGAAGGATGTCAATGCACATCCGATGAATTTAGATCGACATAGAATATGGATCTTGGCAACTCAAGTTTGTCCCCTGAGCCCACGACAGTTTGCATTCTGGGTGCTAGCACAGATAAATCCATATCCTCATTGCCCTTTCCAGTCAGATTAATTAAGTCTGGCACAGGTCATCTAATACATTCCCAATCTATTTTCCTGATAGACACATCCACACTGCTATACCTTACGTGAAAATTTTCACTGGACTGTGAAGTTAAGAGGATGGTTTCTCTTCATTCCTCTGAAATTCTTGCAGCAAAGCTCCTTCATTCAGTCTGTGGCTCCTTGAAAGAAGGCTATGACCTATTTCCTTTTATTTTAATAGGTCTTTATTTTAGTAGACCCAGAAATCTTGGGTTTATACTTTATACATTAACGTCTCACTATTGGTTATTTTAATTTTCCTCTACAGGCGCTGAAAATGCTGAGGCAAATCAAGAATATCCAAACAGCAGCCAAGAAAGCTGGGTGCAGCGAATGCTGATGGCTTTGGTGGGTGATAGCGCCCTTTTCAACACCAGGGAAGGGCGTGCTGGGAAAGTGCACAACTTCATGCTGGGTTTGAACCTCAACAGCTGTTACCCGCTCTCTCCTCTGGCAAAGCTTCTTACTCAGGAGTCGGTGGAGGAAGATGAACTAGATGCAGCTGTTGCAGGTTAGTTCACAGAAAGCCTGTGTTGCTGCATATTCATTAGTAAAACCAGAAACAGTGAGTTCTCAGTGTGGTAACATCAAACTGTGAAGCTTGCAACAGCACGTACCAGAAAGCAGGAGAGAGTTTCTGTAGTGACAGTCGTGAGTGTTGGTCAGCAGCAGAGGGTGTGATGTGACTGGGTCTCTCAAAGGGCACTGCACAGTGACTTCTCTCTGTTGCATACCTCCCCTGTCCCCTGGCAGAGTGTGCAGAACGGTCAGTACTGTTTGGAGGAGAGTGGCTCCCTTTTTTTTTTTTTTTTTTTGAAGGAATTGCTGGCAGAGGTGACCAAGCTGCTTTTGTGTGTAGTGCCCTTCATTAAGGGCACTTTCTCACTCTCTTGGACTTCTCCAATAGGTATCCTGTGTTGTGCCTTTTCTCTGACTGGTGCTAAGCCTTCTAAGTGGAAATAAAACCTTTCCTTGTTCTACTATACTATTACAAAAATTTGAATAGCTCTTCTGCTGTCTTTGTCTTCCTCTGAAAAACCTGTGAAGGCAGCACACTACTTGTAGATCCTCACTTTGCTAACACCATGTTCTTCCCAGTGTGACTGATCTGTCAGGTGCATTCACATTTTGCTTGTGACTGATGTGTAGATGCATCCACATTTCATGTTGGTTTAAGCAGGAAGCAAGAATGCAGATGGAAAATAAGAATTTCAGTAAATTGTTAATTTGCAAAAGAAGTTCAATGTCTTCCCCCGCTCCATGAAGTATACGGTGGCTGGGACAGTAGTTGCAAAGAATTAGGAATCACGTTCGATTAGTATTTTGAAGATTTGCTATAGGCAGTGTACATTACAATCTTCTCAATGAAAGCCACTTAATTTCTTAGTATTCTTCTGGCACTGGTGCTTTTTTTTTCTTCATCAGTAGGCAACAGAGCACTGAGTTAACAATGTGAGTTGCCCTATAGAAAAGTTATGTCACAATGAAGATGCATGCTTGGTGGAGTCTCCACATACAGTTTCTATGATGCAAACTGTAATGCTTCTGGATTATTATGGATTATTACTGACATCCATCAAGATGAGGAACTACAAATCTCTGAAAGTGGTGTTCCTTCTATGTTCTTGTGTGGCAGCACAGCACTACCAACCATCCCTCGTAATCATAGTAGTCCCTTTCAACCCTTATTTTCTATTCAGAGGAAAGAAATTGTCCTAGCTGGTCATTATGCAATAGTAAATACCAGATGTCGTTTAAAAGCTTAAGTAGCAGACGCGCTCTAATGTGTATTTGTTAATGTAACAAAACTCTTTGGTGGTTGTATAGTAATTTCCATCTGTGCTCTACTTTCTAAATATTTTTATCATCTCAGAGGTGTTTACAGCTGAGTAATCTTAATATTTACAGTAGTTGTAAAAGAAGCAGGAAAGCAGATAGTAAATTTATGGTTGGAAAAAATGACAACTGATGAGAATTTGCATAATTAAGACGTGGATAATCTTCAGAATCAACTATCAACTTCCTGGGTTTTAATTTCAATTGAAATAAAATGCTGGTTTGACAGAACAAGCCTGCACCTCTGAGACAATTATTTTTGAGTGCCTGAATTTCTTTGGGGTGAAATGTGCAGCAAAAGTTTGACATAACTGCAGGTTTTTTAGTGTTGGCTGAAGCCTACACTTATAAACCTGAACTAACAACTCAAATCTAACAGCTATGCATAGTTGCAATAGTATGGTCAAGAATAGTTATGAAATCCTTGAAATTTCAGTAGTTAATATAAAATTTAATCATTCAGTTGTGTGATAGGTGTATCCACATTTTAATGCTGTGAATTTTGCTAATATATGTAGAGCCTTGGAGGATAAAGGAAACTTTGGTGTAAATTTAAAATACTGTATATTACCAAGACACATTTAAGCTTTGCATATTTATTTCTACCACTAGCAGTTTACCTGTCAGCTGGAGTACAGAGAAAAGTCTGAATGCTTACTTTATTACCAGACACTCCAAAGGAGAAACAAGTAAATGAAAAAGGACATAGATAATACTTTACATCTTCGCTTGTCTCAAACCTTCTGTAGATGCAGTGCAGAGGATGAACTGTGGCAGGCCTAAGCTGATGTTACAGTCATTACTGAGGATTTAATTTAGGGTATGCAGTGCATACAGCAGAGATCCCAGCTGCTTGATCTGAAAGCAAAATGCTTGGCTTTACTTTGCTATTCTACTTATGCTGAGAATTTTCTTAATTGATCTCAAATATGCTCTCAGACTTTACACCCCTTGAATGATTTCATTGTGAACTCAGAGTTGTTCTGTTTCTGTGCCTTGATATTACAACACACCAAAATCACTTGAGAAAGTGCCAAGTGAATAACAATAGGGAAAAAAAACCCCTCATAATCTCTGCTTCCTTATTTCCTTATTTATGGAAACTGTTATAGTAGATGCACGTCAGTAGCAAATGACCTTTTCATCTCCCATAATTCCATTGAAGCTGCCATCTGTGACAAAGTGTGGTCTCTAGAACACACTCTCTTTTTTATTTCCAAACAATTCTTAACATCAATTTGTGTATCTGATTACAGCAAATCAGATAGGCATGCTGTGCTGGTTTTACATAGAGCTGTACTCACATAATAAACATCTTGTGCTTCTCCCTGTTTGCTGTTTGATGGACTGAAAGCTTCTCGTAATATGGATTCATCTTTCATAAAAGCAGTCCACATGGGCTGAAAATTAATGTCCCAGGCTCTTAGAGCATAAATAATCCATTCAGTGTTCATACTGTTTGATGAATAATGATGGATTAAATTACCAGGGGTGCTATAGTATATAGAATTCATGTGTTGTAAAGTATGAAAAGAACAAAGCTTTCTTATTCAGCCCTTCAGAATAACTACAGTACAGGTTATAGAGTAGGTGACACTTCTTTTAGCATTGGGGATACTTATTGTACGTTAAACCTCTCCCAGGAGCAATTGCAGGCTCACTTGCAGCATCCCGACCCACAGTTCAGTCTGCCTGCTTGCCATGTCTCACTGGGGTATTGTGTCCTGCTTCTGGCCTTCAGCTCCAGATCCTGTGTAAAACAAATCAAATTACATTCTGAGTGTGCCTTTAAAGTCATGTAATTGAAATAACACCGTGTTATTTTCATCACTTTTTGAATTCTGACTCTGTAGCATGGACAGAAGTTGCATGTTTGAACTTTTCTTCTCAATTTAAAGATTAGAAATGTACTTCCAGAATGAATTATATGGAAAAGAAAAACCTTTAAGTTAAATTTCTGCTGTAATCATGGAAGATTACAACTAATAAAGACAATCAATATAGTAAACATAAATTTTTAGATGGCATTATGATGTTTTATTATTTAAAATATCATAAAATTATTATGATAAATTTGATTATAGAGTCGTGAAGGCTGTAAGCAATAGGAACCGTCTGGGTCTTCAATGCCTTTTTGGTAGGAAGTTTGTGTATGCAGTAATACTCCTATCACAAACATTATTATAGGCAGTACTATTCTTGTTTAAAGGATCACTGTTGACTTTCAAATTCAAATTTTGTAAAATAAGACCATACAAAACTTGAATAAAAATGTTTCTGTGATTTTTAGAAATTCTGTGAGAACAAGGGTTAAGTTATGTTTGAAATTGTTTGAAATGTCTTTAGAAAAGCAGGGGGAAAACAAAACTAGTCTACTTGTTCTGAAAGGGTCTGTAGCAAGTGTATTTTGTACCAGCGTTTTTTTAATTATGATGAATTTGATAAAAACTAATATATTTTCATTTATTTATACTAATTCATGGTTATGAAATATATCTGGTTCTAAAATAGGCCTATAAACACTCTTAGCACTTTACCAACAGGTGATTATTTAAAAGTGTTTTCTCCCTTAGAAATCAAGGCAAATACTAGGGAACTGGTGCCTCATTTCTTAGCAAAGTGTACTGTAATAAATAAGAACAGAAATAAAAAGTCAGAATATCTGTTCTGAGATTTTTTTTTTCTGCTCATAACAATAAATTTTTCTCATTAATCCTGAAATGATAGGAACTAGAGTTTGAATTGGTTTTTTATGGATTATCTTCACATTAAAATAACTTTTTTTCAGATTACTTCCGTTGCCAATAAGTAGGTGAAAATTGAATTATACAAGAAATAATTATATTATTCTATTCAGCATTCCTTAGATTACACTGCCCTCTACAGATATGAGCATTAGTTTTTAGTCAAACGGCAAAAACATGCACTGGAAATATTTTTAAGATCTAGAGCAAGAAAAGAATGTCAGGAGAAAAATTTTAAGCGCTGCGGGGATCATTTAGTAGTATGCAGAGACACATAACTGCAGACACTTATGAAAAACGCTTGTTTTTTCCTGAGCTGTACCAAGGGAATATCGGGGTTAAAGGTGAAACATCATCTTCTTCAGCCCTTAGTTTCGGCGTTAGAGATAGGAGACTGTTTTATAGTATACTGTGACAGTAACAGCAATAAGTGGCTGACATGTAAATCTACCTGATGCTTAAATTTCAGATACAGATATGGGTTACCGCTTCTTTTTGTTCCTAGTATAGTAGTGAATATGAGGTCATGAGATTTCATGTAGGTTGAAAACCAAGACTTAATAGTCCTAATTTTAATGGACAGAAGCAGACACGGAGAAGTGTCACACAAGAGCAGAGCCACATCAAAGCTTTTTAGGCGAATTTCAGTTATTTTGGGAAGAGAAGCTGAGAAGGATGGAGGATTGGGAAGGAACATGGGAGAAGAGTTTTGGGCAGGTGTTAGGACTCCGTGGGGGTGTACATTAGGAATATGTCTGCTAACATCCCAGAAACACTTCCCTTTGTGTAGGGGTTGTTAGGGGTGATGGGGTAAAGGTGGGAAGGCTTAGGGTCAAACCTGGGCATTTGTCCCCTTTGGTTTTGCCTCGAGCCAACTCTGCTGCTGCCTTGGGACAGAATGTTTGTGTTCTTGACCTGCTGAGGTCCCTTCCAGCTCTGTTTATTTTTTCACCTCATTCTCCAGTTGTTAAGACGAGAGTCAAGGTTACACGAGTACGTGGTATGTTTAGCTGTGGTACTGTGCATTTTAAATTCTGTGGAATCTTAAGTACATGGGGAAACACTGGAAAGCCCATCAAAATTTGAATTCTTAACTCTTGTCTTCCTGTTTTGTTTTGTTTTCATTTGTTCTGCACAGATCCCGATGAGTTTGAGAGGATATATGAGCCACTAGATGTGAAGAGCAAAAAGATTCATATAGTGGACAGTGGGCTTACATTTAACCTGCCTTACCCACTTATATTAAGACCTCAGAGAGGTGTTGATCTCATCATCTCTTTTGATTTTTCAGCAAGGCCAAGTGATTCCAGTCCTCCTTTCAAAGTAAGTGAGATAGAACCATTCCTTTCTTTGGTTAGAAATTTAAGTGGACTCAGTTGTATTCTTCCAGTCAGGTTGGTTGCACATTTCATGATTCCAGAAGGCCTTAGTGCTGGCGTATCAACAGCATTGGAGCAATTTGTTTCCACGTCAAGGCAGAATATTGCACTCAGCCTCAGTTCCTGTTTACATGACTCACATGAGACAACTGACACAAAGAAGGCTAATATAATTCATTTGAAGTCGTGGCTCTGTTGTTTTTATGGAAGTCTTGTCTTCACACTGAATTGCAGAATTTTATTTTATGTCAATATTAAACAATTAATTAAGCCATTTACCGTTGTTCTAGTACTCTAGCGCTCTACAGCTGTTCGCCTCTGTGATGTAAGTGAATGGTTTTCTGTCATCATCTTGCAGAAGTGTATCTCAGCCACTCTGGTATTGCTAAATATGTAACATTTTGGGAGTGGGGCTAACTGTTCATTTACATTTGACTAGGATAATCCCAGTACTGATTTAAGTAGGATTCCTAAATTCATTTAGGCCAGAGCAAAGCAACAACAGAAAAATATGGATTAAATGGCACGGCTGTTTTCTGTAGCAGGTATGGAAAGCACAGCTGTCAGTCAGTATAATCTGTACAACCAGACAGCTCCAACTGATCAGAAAGGCTTAATGCTGGATCATTTTAGTAGCTGACACAGAAAAAGCAGCATTTATGAGACGATTGAGGTTCTCAAAAAAGAAGCAGTATTTATTTGAAACCCGTGTTGATTTTTAAAAAGAATTTTTAGGGAAACAAATAAAACATGCCTGTTTGAGAAACAACTATCATTCTTTGTTGCTTTACAGGCAAATTTCAATTAGAACCAACAGAGTATTTTTTCCTTCCTCTTGCTGTCAAGGGACAAAACCCCCAAACTGTTAAAAAATAACAGCAGTAGCAAAATGAACTCCTGATCAATGGTTTCAAATGCAAAGAAAAACAAACTTCTGGAGAATAAAAACGAATAAATTCTGTAATATCTAGGTCTCTTGGGGACTACTTGGAAGAATAGAGCACTTGAGAAGTCTCTTACTAGTGCAGAGATCTTTAATTTATCCATAATTGACTGTTTCTTCCTTTAATTTTCTGTTTGTTTAAGAATAGTCTCCTTTTTTGTCATAGAATCATTAGGTTGGAATAGA